GCTGGTGGAAATCGAAACCCGGTAGAAACGACTGTTTACCCCGAGGACGTTAAAATCGAGGGTGGCTAGATCGAAGAAGCTTAAGGCTCTTAAAGGGTAGTACGCATCGACGTATTCGACATATCAGAAACGTCTTGAGAAACAAAAAAAAAATCATACCATGAAAACTAAACCCTATAGCTAGGCTATACAGAAATCTCGATTTTCATCCCTCGAATCCCTGTTCGAAAGTAGGGGTAAACAAAAAGGAAAAAAAAAAGAAAAGCCAATATTTGGGGGGAGGTTAGGACCCCGGGTGGATGATTTCAATCTCTTCTATTTAATTCTTTTATAATTGACAAAGTACAACCCGAGCCAAGATCTGCCAGGGATTCTTAATCAAGATTTCGAAATTGTACACGAGCGCGGTAAAAAAATTGTTGTTTATACGAAAAAAAAAAAATTAATTTAAATCACACCTTCGTCAATCTCGGTAAACGTGTAAAAATCGAAAAAAAAAAATCTGAACCCAACCTCTACGGATCCATAAAATTGCATGAATTTTTTCAGTGATCCTACTATTCGAGTACCTAACCTAACTGAGCCACGTACGAATATCATAAAAACAACTGTTGGACAGATATAAGTTCTAAAGAAGAAAAGTGAACGCGTCATCCATAGCCACAGCAGGTACGAACCTCCGAAGGGTAGTTTCACCCTTGCCAGAAGAACGTCTGCTCTCGTAAAACGTTAACGGCACGAGCGTTAGTTGTCAGCCAACAAAGCTGTTTCGCTGGCCTAAGGCGTATCACGTATGAAAAGTTCTGTATATACGTTATATACATATATACACTCCATAGCCCGACATAACCAACATATAAAAAAGCGTTTACACACAGCGCGTGCATCTAACGTAATTTACGCGTGGTAGATAGAGGATTCAAGAAAAAAAAAAGAAATTCTTCATCCAACCTAACGCGATCGTATTTTTACGTAATTTGTCAAATTTTCAATCTTTTACCTTATCCTCGGTCAATCGGCGGATCCTGAGTAATTGTCCGTTCGATTTAAGCGCGGTGACGTCACGCCGCATGAATTTCACGCGAAATCCTAGTCGAAGCCAAAACCGCGTGTCCCAAGCAGATAACGTAAATCTAACTGTCGTTCGTCATCGGAATACCAGCTGTTTACAAGCGTCAACAGAATGTCAGTGTATCGATAGCAAAACATTGCCAATTTCAAATAGTATTCGAGCAAAGGGAAATATCCATTTCCCCAGGCAAGTTTCGCCGTGTTAACCGTACAGTCAGAATCCACCAAAACGTGTTTGTACTTGACGTTCCGCGTTAAGCCGGTGGTACGCTGTTCGTCAAATGCCAGTCGTTTGTTTTATCCGATACAATTCTAATTGTTATTTGCGTCAACCGTCAGGATACGTCTGATGATCATTCAGATACAGTATATGTGTATATATATATATATATATATTCTTTACGACGTACCTAACCTACCGACAACTGGACGTACCTGTATCGCGTATAGAATGTCGAGGTAGCGTTATAATACTTTTATCGAATTTTCATACATCATCCAGAAAGAGTGAGAGAGAGTCTCTAACACTCTCTCTGGCTTTCTTTCGCGCTTTTCACTCAATCACCCTTCTCTCCGGGGGTTCCGAACCTCTCTCACTCTCGTACTCTTGTTCACTCCCGGGCTCTGATGGATAAGAGCTTAAAAGAGCGCCACTCCGCCTGGTCGGAAATTGTTTGCCGTGACGTCAGAGCTTCGGCTGCAGGTACCGTTGGCCCTGCGATGCGCGCGCACCTCCGGTCGACGCGACAAAATACGAAATCCTTTACTTTGCTCGTGGCAGATTGACTCGTAGGAGAAATTACGAAAACGGGTCCCAGTGTGTGTAACGTAATTACGAGTGCACCAGAGACCCACGTTAGCGTAGGCGGAAAATAATTTTTACACGTATCCTTAAAAATATATTTACCTCTGACGTTGTGTTTCGTGCGATAGACGCAAGGTGGCAGCACCGGATACGATAATATGGCGGATTTAAAGGAAACAAACTGAAACATCAGAATCACTTATAGAATGATAGCGGAAGTAAAGTACGTGATGTCAACTGATTCCATAAACTAGATTGAAAGTGCAAATAGCAATGTAACGAGGTACGACGTATGTTTATCGATAGCAAGCACGGGTATCATAACGTATGATAACAAGAACGCAAACAAGACCAACCGATCGTATGCACGAATTTGAGCAAAGTTGGTAGCAGTGCACAGGTACAAATGCAAATTCCGGTATCGTAGAAGAGAATCGGGCGGAAGGTCCAAATAGTAAATATTTATGTACAACGAGGAAATGAGTGGCGGGCATGTGCCCGTGATTCAGGAATCATCGAAACGTTAAGATTTTCTTAGATTTAGCCCTCGTTTTCCAGAATTCGATTCCTCGTTCGATTTAACGCTCGTAAGGGGATATAAAAAAACATGGCTCCTGCCCGTCTACGTGTTAGGAATATTTTCACGTCTTGACGATATTGCATCGCTTCCATCCTGCCGATGGTATCAGTATACAATGACGTGTGTGTATATATATTATACGTATATAAAATATATACCGAAGAGGGTAAGATATGTGGGCAGTCCAAAGGAAAAGTATTTCTGGAAAGATTCCTAAGGTATGTATAATGTATATATAAGTCTAGGGATCTGCGTAGGGTAGTGGAATAAAGAAAGTGCAGTATATGCAGGTCGGCTCCTTCGACAGAAGAGAATAGCTACTATGCCAGTGCATACAAATAGATGCAACGTAGCAATGCACGTATCGATGCACAAGAAGAGCTTTCCGAGTGAAGGGGTATTAAAAAAAAAAAAAAAAAATAAGAAAGCAAAGTATAACACGACACAAAGGAGAAAGACTCACTGGAGTACGTGTAACAGAGAGGATGATGCTACGTCTTTTGGTATTCTTTGGAAAATAAAAGCAGGATCGAAGAAACATGGCATCCACCTCTAACCTGACATACGTATTACTCCTTGCACTATGTTAGATAACCTATACGTATTTTATTCAATTCGAGATCTGGACTTTCTAGGAATACATTATATTACACTAGTATACTCATACGTTTTACCGTATGTTTTCCATGTTTGAGCATCTGGTAAAATGCTTGACAATAAAAAAGTAATTATTTGTTCTGCATGATGAATTTAATATAATTAGGTAATAAAAATTCCTCGGTTATCGAAGACGATGAACTTTTTTCTCTCTCTTTCACTATCTCCGCGCGAGTCTTATATTCTTGTCTCCTTGTCGCATGTATAACCAAGAAATTTTTCAATTCCAATGGTGTCAGCTACCGCCACGACATTTTCTCCTGTCACTTTACTTCATTTCTCTTTTCCTTTAGCTTTATTTATTTTGTACGTTCGCCACGTGCCTTGTAGTTACATAGGTACAGGAGCACAGGTAGATGTTAAGACAGGGGTGGCAGGAGATATGGAGCTGGCTGGTACATCGTGCTATTTGGTACGGATGCTTGTCAGACGTCATGGGAGGAACGACATTAGGAAGCAACCGGGTAGCTTGACTCGTCTTCTCTACCCGGAGGAATATATTCGGCAGGAAACCGCAGGTCTCTAAGGTATTCCGGTTAAAAGCCCTGAAACATTCCCAAAATTTGATTGAGTCAATGAAGTTTGGGACACTACGTGCCATGCGTGTTAATTGCAGTTGACAAAAAAAAAACATTCAATCTACCCTTGTAACAGTAATGAAAAACAAAAAGATCACAATACACTCGGTAAAGAAAAAAATAAATAAATGTTCTCCCAGCGTCATTTGGCAAACAGCACCAGAATGGGTTAAAGTACAATTCGACTATGATATAAAGCTACAAACCGTACTATTTACAGTGCCTACCCACGTTAATACAGTATATATACCGTAGTATCAAATATTTTGGCCAAAGAATGAAAGCGGCTGACTGAAACGAGGTTATGGAGGGTCATTCCAGCCAGAGAGCCTGAACGCCGTGTGATATAACTAGGATACTGTTGCTCGCAAGTACCTACTAGAGTACTTTATTCGTACTATGCTTTTCCGCCGTAACTAGGAGGCTGCTAACCAACCAGTGCATATACGAAGGGCGATGGTATCGCACCCACGAGACAGGCAGCCCTGGCCGTTTTGGTTAAAATATTAAAGCCGCATACCAGCGGGTTGCGCCTCGACGAAGAGGACCGTCGGGAATCCGACAACCGCGACTTGCATCTCATCCGCATACACGTTAACGTTCCATGGTCCATCCATTGCGACACCCTCGAACTGACGTTACGATTATGTCGAAGGTTGTTGGTAAATTTAGTTAACTTCGTTCAGCCGCTACCGGTAGAGGAGCACGCAGAAATCGATACCGCTCATCGCTAGAGGGTAGTTGGCGTCCGAGATAGGGTGAAGTTTGAAATTAGGTAAATCAGTGTGACGTCATTAGGCTAGGGTAGGTAATCCATTCTCTTAGACTCCTTGCCCTTCCCAAAATCCCTCCAGCCTCGTACGAGCTCGCATATGATTATCGATGAATACCGGCGCACCAAGGAAACTCCAAAGCTGTCCATGTTAATTCCAATATCGATCCACCCTTGTACCGGGAGGCTGGGGGTGGTATCATCATTGCACGTCAAGAAATTACTATCCCCTTTATCCATTCGGCAACTGGCTCAGTCAACTGATCAGTGTTTAGCGTATAAATCCGAGCTGAAATTTTCCTCAGGATTCAACGGCCTCCTTTCGTCCCTTAAACTTTATCAACTAGTCGCTATAACGCCGTACGTTAATTGGAACGGTTGGTTCCAACCGCGGCCGACGAGTTTCAGCCATTACTGCGTACATACGTCTGTACGTACTTCTTGGAGTCCTGTATAAATTGTAACCTACATATATTAATATATATATGTGTGTATGTATAGGTATAACGTAAAAGGTTCGTTCCATACGGTACTCACAGATAACGGTGAGATGGGCGTTGGCACGAATTGGCTTGGCCCGCAAATAGGGCCCAACTTGGCACTGATATTCTCCATCGTCGGTCAGAGAGGCATCCGTGATTCTCAATTTATAGACACCGGAATTCTGGTCGCCGACCAATCTGAATCTGGGATGGCCGACGATCTCACCGTCTGCAATGGGACAATAGGACGTTAGCATTGTTCTGCTGATACCAGTGGAGCTGCGCGTGGACGGTGGGAAAGGTGTTTGTTATTATATAGATATTACAAGAAGTTGTGTACTAACTTGGCTGTATGACGTAGGCAAAGCCATCTTTGACCCACTGAACGATCCCCATACGATTATTGACTTCGCAGTCTATCACCACTTTGCCGCCTTCCAGAACCGAATTGTTCGTCGGCCTGACTCTGAAGGACTGCTCGCCGTCGGCTGTAACATAAAACAAGATATGCAGGTATTAATTACTGTTCTAACGTTAATTGACATTGTATCGGCTCGTCGTACGATTAAATCGGATAACCTCATTTTACGGACATCGAACCGTGCAGTTTTGCAAGCAATTATTTCTCTATTATTGCTCACCGCGTTGAACCCCCCTGTCAGTTTTATTATTCTATAACGCCGATGAGCTTGTAGCGTGTTTATGGATATTATCGTATAATAATAATAATCTTCAGGTTTATCACTGTCAGTAGCCATTAACGTAGTCTGCTTTTAATTGGAGCCTGCAATTATTAATATTGTTCAAGTCATTGCAGGTATACAGCGATAGCCGAGATACGTTACGCTATATGTGTATACTGCAAACATATAACGTATTAAACTGTAGATAAGACGACGGTCTACGGCCGGTGAGTTCCTGTGAAAATATTTTCCTTAGAATTGTTCAGCACCGCGAGTAGCAATTGTAAGCGCGCCATTTGCCAGAAGGTTCAGAGCAGGTCGTTTAAATGTCGCTTGGAAAGAATGTGGAAGAACTTGAAGTCTCTTTGACGATGGCTACGACGTCTAACGGTCGCTATTAATGGCTCCGTCCCGTTTCCAGGACATATCTGTCTGTCTCTCTCTCTCTCGCTCTCTCTGCCAAGAGGCGGAGTAATAAGCGGTTCTCTGTTTTTGTCTTTTTTTATTCCTGGAACAACCCATCGGACAAGGACAGAGAAGAGGGATCGATGAGAAAAACATTTTTATAGCTTTTTTCGAAAATTCAAATGTCTCTCGGTCGATGGACTCGGTTGTAGATGGCGCTGAGGTAGCGAAATGTCTTTGGCACGGATAGTACAAATTTCGCACGTTTATATCGCCATGTAATTCCCTTACGGGGACCCTTGTATTTTCCCGTACGATCTTTGACGTTCTTCCCCTAAACATTTACACCCTTAAACTAACCTAGAAATTCGTGCTTAAATCCTAACTTTACGATACTCTAGCGTCTCGAGCATGGACCATTTATCGGATAGACAGGCGTTTTATAAATTTTATGGGTAAGGACTTTCATCTGCTTATTTCCACCTTTATTCGGAACACTCTTCGGCTTTAAGTATTATTGTGATCAATATGCTCCTCCCGATGGTGGTTGTAAAATTTATTCTGTGCGTTGGTGAGTTTTTTTTTGTAAGAATATTTATATTATCCTGACGGGAGGAGAGGGGGAGGTCAGATTCACTTTTGTTAACAAGAGAGAAAAGAAGTATATCTATAGAGATACTATTTTAAATATTTAAGGCGAAAATTCCTTTAACAATTTTCACCCTTGTCTCGTGTAATGAGTGTCTCTGTATGTACAACCTACCAGTCTGGTATATAACTTGGTTATGTACAGATAACAGTGCCGAGGTATGGTAACTCGTGTAATTAGGAACAAATTAAAGCGTCCCGTATTCGTAAAATCGTGTAGATTTTCGCTGACATTCTAAAGTCACGTACTACGCGAGGATTCGCGTATGTAAAGGGACATATCAACATAACCTCTTATACGGCGGTAGGGCGATTAAGCTCTGCTCACGTCCCAAAGAAACACGGGATTAAACCAAGCTGTCACCAAAAGTCCCTAGGATAAGTTGTCGTGACGTCTGACACGGGTGTCACGTATATACGTCATTTGGGTGACCTTTCGCCCACTTGGACATCTTTCCGTATGGGATTAAAGCGTATTCTCGACTGTTGGAGCTGAAAACCGTGAATTCTAGAGTGACTTGGGTTATCGAGTCGTGGCAGGTTTAAATTAACTCGATTAATTCAATCGATCGTTCCACAACACAAATGAGGTTAAGAAACAAGAGGACGGTTTGAAAAATAAATGAAAGGCAATCAGCGATGTTTTTAGAATCGACGTCGTTGGACGACGCGCAGGCAGACGTACTCCCGTGACATTGGCAATGTCGAATGGCTTAGCACGTTCTTGTCACGCCCGTTGGATCGACGAGGACCGCCCGACGGATTTTCAATGGAAGAGAAATTGCTACTCGGCTGTAAAACGGTCCGTAAAGGACGCCCCGGTATTTCATGCTGACAAAGGGAAGGTCCTGTGAAATTCCCGCATTTGCATTGCATATCGTACAGCTCGTATGGTGCATCCTCCGCTGATGGGAAACTATCTAGATAGCAAACTATAGGTAAATAGATATGTCTACTTTGTAGAGGGTCTTTTAGCTAGAAACGCTTGAAGAAAGTTACGTAGTAGACGTCAAGCTACGTTTCCACGAAGTCCATGATACTTTTACAGAGCAGAAATTGATGATATCGGAGAACAAAGTCACGTGGGAGTCTGGCAAGGTGAAAATGTGAAGGAATAAAGTGGTTAAAGATATGTTGTATATGAAAAATTCAATTATCAAGATTGTTCGTTAGGAAGGTATTTTTGTACAGCTGCTAGGTGGCCAGAAGTAGCTGATAGATACGTATAGTTTGCAGTTGGAATGTTGATATCAGTTTAAACGAATGAAATTGGTGGGAAGAGTATGATTACGTAATAATAAAAACAGTACGAAAGGGAATCGCACGATACTTTTTGCCGCTCGGAAGTCTTGCCGCTGTATTTCAATTGGTATAAGGTAATTTTATTTATAAAGGAGAGTCCACGGTATTTCTAATTAAGGGTGTTGAAATAGCGCAGTTGCGTAAAGCATTAAAAAAAGGACGCCATGCCGTAAGAGTGAATACGCATCCGGTTTATCAATGGTAAGCAGTTCGTGTCTCTCGGATAGCTGGAATAATGAGGCCTAAGGGTACTATAACCTAAGCTAGACAACCAACCGACGAGACAACCAGACTAACAAATAATCGGACGTTGCCAACCGGTCTCACAGCTTCTTACTCCCATGCTGTCTTTGATAATTTACAATTATGATAATTGCACGAATGTATTACCTGGTAAAGGCTGGATCCTTCCGAGTCGAGTTAAAGTAATTAGAGTATTATTTTTCTTTGCAACCCGCGCCGTGTTTATTTCCCGGGTAAAAGTTGCTTTTCCATCTCGTAATGAACTTGCCAAGCTTTTTCCGTTAAATATTTACGTATCACCGAGTAAATGCTTGAGCTTTATATACAAACTAAGTGTATCTTGGGCATCGATCAAAAGAGAAAGTAAAATAAGGAAAAGACGTAATTCATTGGTACGTTACATTTTTGGTTGTCGTATAGACCACTGGGTGAGCACTGTCTTTTATCCGAATACAAAGTATTTACAAATTCGTCATGGCATTCAACCACGCACCACGAACAATAGACTAAAAACTTCGTGAACGAACACTCCCACGATTTTCGATTAACTTTTATTATAACGCGTAAAGACTTCTGCCGCGAAGAGAGCCTTCGGTCCCGTAACCGAGCGAGCGCCGCCATTTTAAACCCAGTCGCCAGCGCTTCGCCGTTGTCTGTGGCCTGCGGAGAGGCCGGGAACTTTGAAAGCACTAACGACGCATATGATAAAATTACAAATACAAAAGACGATAAAGAAAATCCAAGAGAATGAAAAGTACTCTCACTCTGCAATTTTATACCCGAAAGTTAGTGGCGGCAAATTTGAATCGACGTGCAAAGGCTGTTAAATGATCTAGATGGCGCCTTTCGCAGTCGAGTCGCAACACGACGGCAACATTGACAGTCAAGTGATCACTACGTACTTGGATTAGAGGAGCGAGGCAGCGTCTCTTTGAAATCTGATAATTCAAAGTCAGAGGCCTCTTGCCACGCTTGGTCGGTCGCAACTAGAAGAGTATCTTTTATTTTTCTCCCTTTTACCGAGAGGCAACAACTCGCAAGACTGGTTTTCATTCATTCATCGAGATGCCGTAGTTACGTGCGAGTCTGCAGTATGCATTAACTTTGATCGTCCCGAGTATTACATTACGTATTATACCAACTTACTACACAGAGCCTATAGACTGTATCGCCAAGTACCAAGAATTAATGACATAATAAGCATCCTCTTGAAATCTTCTAATACACATAAATTTAACCCAACGAATATTATGCTTTGTAATACAGATAATCACGAAGCAGTAAATATTGAAAGCCTTGAAAAGACACTGGAGAGGAACGACACTACTAAATACGACTGAGCGGAATTGAAGACATTGGCCGGAAACACTAAAAGGAAAGAGGATTCAGGAAATGACTCGAGTGACCATCCCTCATTTGTTGGAGACTCATCAACTTTTCCAGAACGGTTTTCTACTCGTTATGCTCCATTAGGAAATTGCTCTGAGGAGGGGTCCAACGAGTTGACGTAGAGCACCGAGTGCCTCCTTGGTGTAATATCTCGACAGGGCAGAGACAAGCACAATGCTTTGCCGCCCTCGCGAAGGAAGGAGGCGCAACGGTTAAAATACGTAGGAGCGACGCGGCACACTTTGCTTGGTAATTAGTGTATTCTCTAAGAGGCCAGAGTCATTAAGTCTTGAGGGAGCGAAAGGCAGTATTCGAGTTTGAATAGTTCTGGCAAAGTCTTAGAGGAACAAGACTACCCGGTCGAATACCGAAGACAGAGCCAAAGTTAAGGTCATATTCATTGTTCGTTCGCGGTCGTTAGCCACTGCGGGTTCGCCTTAATGCCAGAAGGCATTCATCAGGCGCGCAGAATCCTATAACATTATATGTATAACCAATAGGTAAAACCGTCCCTACCCTACACCGAGAAGACGTAGAGAAGCGTACTACCCCGGGACTGTCTTTCGCCTATAACTTCGAACAACACACAGCAGATGTCGCCCGTTATTCAACCGGACGAAAAGAAACCGGCTGATTACAAAATAAAAAGTGACTGCAATAAATTTTCCAGATCCCCGACACGTGACATTATAAAAAATGAAATTTTATCTGCGAATCGATCTCCTTTAATTAATAATCAATCGATCCCATCCGCTGCTCGGTCGACTAACGAAGGTAGTTGAACTCGCAGGACGTCAGCGCGTGCGACGGTCTGTCTG